CCTCCACAACTAGACTGAAGAACAAAAAGACAGCAACTTGTCTGTTCCCCTTCCCCCAATTCCCCAGTGCTGTTCCCATCCCCCAATTCCCCAATAAAAATCTTTAAAAAAAACCCCAAAAACATTAAGACAGAATTCAAAAAGAATAGGCAAAGTATTTGAACAGATAGTTCACCAAAAAAGATATATGGATAGTATATAAGTACCTAAATAGATGTTAAACATCAGTCACTAGGGAAATGCAAGTTAAATGTAGATTAAAACCATGATGAGCTGCTCCCACACGCCTACTAGAATGTCTAAAATTGAAAAATTGATCACACCAGGTGTTAGCATGTGGAGTACCTGGGACTCTCACACACTGCTGAAGGGACTGTAAAATGGTGTAACCACATTGGAAAATAGTTTGGGAGTTTCTTTAAAAGCAAAACATATTACTACCATATGACCCAGCCATTTGACTCCTAAGTATCTACCAAAGATAAATTAAAGCATATATCTACACAAAGACTTATACACAACTGTTCACAACAGCTCTGTTTGCAATAGTGTAAAGCTGGAAACAAATCAAGTGTCCAGGAGGTGAATCGTGGTGTGTCTATATCATACAATACTGTTCAGCAACAGAAAGGAATGAACTATTGATATGTGCAAAAGATTGAATGAACCTCAAAATAATTATGCTGAGTGAAAGAAGCCATTCAAAAAAGAGTATATACAATATGATTCCATTTACTATGATTCCAAACACTAATAAAAAGAAAGTTGGAGAGGTTATGTTACTATCAGACAAGGTAGACTTCAGAGAAAAGGAAAACACCATGAACAAAGAAAGGTGCTACATAATGATACATGGATCAATTCACCAAGAAAACATAACAACCCTAAATTTATATGCACCTAACAACAGAGCTTTAAACTACATGGAGCAAAAGTTACTAGGATAAATTAATTATTTAGATAAGTTACATTTAAAATGATTCTATTTATGTAAATTGTACAAGATGTATACTAATCTACAGAAATGAGATCAATGGTTGTGTATGTACAAGAAGGTAGAATTACCAAGGGACACAAGGAAACATTCGGGGGTGATGGATATGTTCATTATCTTTATTGTAGTGGTTTCTTGTGTATATACATATTTTAAAATTTATTAAATTATATACTTTAAATTAAAAAAAGTATATACAATATGATTCCATTTATGGAAAATTACTTCCCGTAGCTCTTATTCTGTACTCCCTTCATGGAAATTGACATTTATTAGGTTTGTCCATGTTTATTCACACAAATTTGTTTTTGCTTTGTAGTTTTCTTTAAAGGGAAAAGCAGCTAATAAAGCTGGGTCCTTTTAATAATAGATTAACATATTTAATTAAATATATTACGTTTGGATTCCAAATCCCGTGTCTTATTCTAATTACTGATTTATTGTGCTTTGGAAAAGTCATTTATCGTTCCTTTTTTTCTACGAAGGTAAAATCCATTCTTGAAAAGAATGAAGAAGAGCTCTCACAAGCAGTGAAGTGTCGTGATGCAGCCCTGAGAGAGAGTCAGAAGTTGAAAGGGGACCTCGAGGCTTTGGAGGACAGGGAGAACAAGAAGGCAAGGCATCGGTCCTTTCTGAAAGTCTATTACTGGGGCGTGGTGCTTAGGAAATCTTTCCTAATCCATAGTCATTTCTTGTTACCTTTACTAAGAATGAGGATTGATCAGAGGAAGATTTTTTCCTAAAGAAATGATCTCTTCCTTAAATATACATAATTTAACTCCCAATATTTTTTCAACTGCCTGTGTTAAACTAATCAAAAGTCCTAATTTTTTCTGTGGAAAGACATCTGAGCTTGGTAATAACCTGCCTACTTACGCTTTATTAACGTGATATTAAGTGCAATGTATTCATGTTAAACTAAATCACTAAATGCTTTCTACCTAATAGTGTGTGTGCTTAGTGAAAACAGGTCACATCTCAAACTTCTTGAGAGCAGGTGCTAGATTTTGTCTCTCTGAAGCGGGCTGTGAGTTATATCATTCTTTAGCAGCCTCCACTTTCTCTGACGGTCTTCATTCCTGAGATGATTCTGATGGGTTTCAGAGGTGCGCTCCTCTTCTGCCCCCATCATAAGATAGCTGAGCAGGGCCAGAGCGGGCTAGCCTGGGACCACCTCTAGACCCAAGACACTGCTGATCCTCATGTTTCCAGTTACTGTATGTGCTGCGGCATGACGATAGTTGGGAAGCACTGCCGAGTTCTCCATAGGATCCATGGGATCTGGGGTCTAGTTTTCTTTTTCTCAAAGTCACAATCACTTAAGGAACAAAAGTAAAATATACTTTAATTATTGCTCTTAGCATTTTACCATGCCTGGTTTCCCTACTGTATCCAAGAAGTAAGGGGACTCACCAGCAGCAGAGTAACCAGAAAAAAATCAAATAACTTTGTCTGGTTTCATTTCCTGTTAGGTGGGAAACTTTCAGCGACAGTTGGCAGAAGCTAAAGAAGACAACTGCAAAGTTACAATCATGTTGGAGAATGTGCTGGCTTCTCACAGTAAGATGCAAGGTGCTCTGGAAAAAGTACAAACAGAGCTTGGGCGGAGGGATTCAGAGATCGCAGGCCTCAAGAAAGAAAGGTACTGGAGTTCATTTTTCTGTCTTTGTACTTGTATTTTTCTGCTGCGCTATAGTAAGGACCCATGTGCAGTAAGGAAACCAAGTCATTTGATATTGCATCATTTGTGAAAATCTAGTAAAATGGTGTTTAAAGAACTAGTTTAAAGTTAGGGAAAATCTGGAATTAAAAATTAACATGATTTCCAAAAATTCTAATTTCTCATATTTTATAGTGATACAAAGGAGCATGTATTCTAGAAATTCATATCATATACTGTTTATTTCACCCTTGCTGTTTTCTACACCATTTAAACCTATCCTTGAGTCTACAAAATAGTAATTGTCAAGATAATTGAAGCTAAGTGCCTATATTAGTTTGAATTAATTATCTATTTATTAGTGTCCTATTTAAATATTAATAGTTATTTTGGATGAATCATTCTGAGAACTACTTCTAGCCATGTTTTGTAAATATTCAAATGTTTCAAAAATTATATAGTTTTCCTTTTTGGCCAATGAACAAATGATCTGAGTTTAATAAGGCCTCTAAAATATATTGTAATGTGTATATTAGTGGTGCATATTGCCTCTATGAGAGAACAAGTGAATTTTATATTCTTCCTTGTGCTTGTCTTTATTTTTTTTACATATTATGAATGTTTATTCTAAATTTTAAAAATTCAAGGGGATGGTACTAAAAATATTGTTTACCATTCACAATAAAATTCTAGATAGCTGTCGTATTTATTATAGATGCAAAAACCTCAACATCAAGTCAATTCATGTAGAGGTGATATATTTTTGTACTTCCAGTATATACTTATAAAATACATATATAATAAAATTACCAGCCTGTAAGTTAGTAATTGACATGTATTGATAGTTTAATGTATCAAGCCAAATTGAATCATAGATGGGACAAGTTTTTAATCCATAGGAGCCTTAATTTCTTAACCTAAAGCTACTAATTGTCACCTGCCAACTCTCAGATACTCTTAGCATCCACAGCCTACTCCTATGTATGCTGTTTGAGCTTCTTGGAAGAAGAGTGCCCTGTAACTTCCAATGGTATCATTCCTGCATGGTTCTTTTTTGTGGTCACTCTTTCTGTGCTTTCCATTTCTAGGGCTCTACATCAACAGAGGGTGCAGAAGTTGGAAGCGGAAGTGGACCAGTGGCAAGCCAGAATGCTCGTTGTGGATGCCCAGCACAACTCCGAGGTAGAGGCCAGGTTTTCATAGAGGATAACGTTCATATTTTTGGTTTTATTGGGATATTGATATTCTGGAAAAATGGAGTAAAACAATCAGGTAAATTTCCTTTTCATTCAAGTTTGAGTTTTGGACAGTGACATATTTACAAATGGGAAAAGGGCTGCAGTCTTACAGGGAGTCATTTATTGGGAAGCCAGGCGAAAATTATGCCAGTTCTCTTTGTCTTATATGGTTCACATTTTTTTTTCATTTATTAATGCATAAATGATTGCAGAAATTAAAGGGCTTGGAGAATAACTTACAACCTCAGTCAGAGTGTTCCCTCTACTAATAAGGAGACACATACTCACGTGTGTGCTCACAAGTGTATGCACACAGGAATATGTATCTATGCCTATGTATCTATACATAATACACATGGATAGTTTATATAAATAAGCTTTTTCTGGAAGGATATACAAGGAATAGTTGCCAGTGCTTATCTCTCTAGGCAATGAGACCAGAGTTCATAGGATCAGGAAGGGTAATTTAATTACTTTAAAATTTTTTATATTAGGATAAATTAAGTTGGCTCTGTTTTCCAAAGCTCTCTAGTGATCATTGGGGCACACCCTTCCCATTGCCTTCTAAGAGTCTCCAAAGCAATGTCCGTAGTTAAGTTCGCACATACTCGTGTATATTCCAGGCATCTGGAATCTCTGGTTGTGATTCCAACTAATTATTGTTTCAGTGACACTTGATGATACAGGGTCAGGAGTAAATAAACAGTGTTATGGACTTCTTGCATCTGTTACAGTGGAATTAAAAACCCTCTTTTCTCTTTCAGATGGAGCCTCTACAAAAATCACTAGATATGGCTAGAGAAGACAACAGGAAACTGGCTATGAGCCTGGAGCAGGCTCTCCAGACAAATAGCCATCTGCAAACAAAGCTTGACCATGTCCAAGAGAAACTGGAAAACAAAGAACTTGAACGACAGAATTTGGAAACCTTCAAGTAAGGGCAGTCTAGTCACAGTGAAATTAGGGAAGAGCCTCTGGGGGAGTAAGTGTGGCTCATTCACATAAACCAACTCAGCCCTTTTCTCCTACTTTGAACTAGCACTCCCAGCAGATTGACCTTAAGGAACCAAGCATAGCTGAGCAGCAGCAGCTACGACCTGGCTGGGTGGGGTATGCTCATGTTCAGCTCTCCCCTCATCTAGTATCAAGCTTCTGCACATGAAAGTTAAACCAAGATTTAAAGAATATTGGTCAGAAGGGACACTTGAATATTTCTGCCAAGCCTTTTCTTTTAAAAGCTTTTGTGTCCTTTACAAGCATGACTGGGGAAAAGGAATACCAGGAACCTGGATGGGTTATTCCCACCCAGGAGTGGGATGACTTCGTCTAAGCAGTGCTAAACCATTCAAATTGTTTTCAGTTTTGACCTGAGATTAGTTAGGTCAAACCCATCAAGTTCAGGTCAAGCCACTAAAGTTTTGTCTTCAACTATATCTAGGTAAATATGAATTAGATATTAGTGACATTCCGTGAAAATTTATACCCAAGGGAAATGCAGTGTACACATACATCTTTATTCCTTTCAGGTAGTGAACATATTGACAGGTACAAAGAAGGCATTTTTCAGATTTGTGATCTGTGCAAATTTATATTCTGGTGAGATGTTGTTGGCTCAAGACTATTCCTCATTGGTTAAAACAAGAGTATGTGTTTCACTCTTTTGGTTGGATCTCTTTAGATTGAATGATCTTTTTGAAATGCTAAAGGTAATGCTTTTATTAGTTCTGTTAATGAGCTCCAGATCAGTGAGGCTCACCTGGTGGTGACTGATCTGCTTCTCATTTGTAAATCACACACCTTTTGGAAAGTTGCACATTCCCCTCCACATCTTTCTTACCTTCTAAGATGATTTCTAAAGGTGATTTATACTTGTCTTTTTTAAAACAGTGAACGGATGACTGAGGAATCCAAAATGCAATTAGAAATGCATGCTGAACGCATGGAAGCTCTAAAAAAGCAGTTTCAAACTGAGAGAGACACTGCAAAGAAAGCAGCACAACGGGAAATGGCTGAGGTATGAAGTCAAATGACAAAAAAAGTCTCTCTCTAGCTGAATGCCTTCTAAGAGGAGAACCAGCTAAGGGCTGCAGCTATTCTTTGGCTCTTCTAATCCCTCTTGACCAGCAAGCCAGATGTAGTCAAGCCATCTCTGTGCTGTTTGTAAACTGACACACACAGAAAACCAGTTTCTGATACACAGTTCTCTGCCCAGCGAAGAGAGCCTTGATGAGAGCTTTTCCATTGGAGAGTGATAACTGAGTGGGAGAGAGTGATAGCTTCCATCAGGCATTTACCTTCTCCTGAGAGGCACATATAAAAGCAGAAGAAGCTACATGGTCCATGCTCTGGGATGTGCTAAATGACCCTTGTTTAATTGTGATCTCCACTCTTTACATGAGATAAATAGGGAAAACATCAGAGGACCTTCCTTGGATAGCTAGAGGCTGTGTACAATTTTGAAGGAATTTAAAGTTAGGGAAAGTTTGTTTTAGGCTGATTGGGTGATAAGAGACTGGGAAGCTGGGATTGAGACTGACAGAGATGGGACACCCAATGTAAGAGGACAAGCAAAGCTTAGTTACAAAAATGAATAGGACATGCGAGCAAATGAAAAAGATTCGCCTCTCTTGATAAGAGCAGAGACTTTGGGAAATGTCTGAGAAAGAATGGCTAGCATGGATGGGACCAGAGTTGGCCTTGGATATGAACTATTAGGCAAAAGCAAAGCATGATAAGTGTCTGAGAAGCGGGTAGGTGGATGGAGGTAATGATACAAGCATGTTTTAGGAAGCCTGGTCTGACAGCTGTGGAGAGAAACTGGAGATGTGGAGGCTCAAGAGAACTAGAACAGTTGCTTCAGGTTGTAGATGATTAGGCCAAACAAAGTAGTTCTGTTGAAAATTGAGAACAAGTAAATCAAAAAGCCATTTTAATAGACATATCAGACAAACACTAAATGTTGTATCATGAGCAAAGGGGAGAGAGGGAGTAAAATAATTCTAAGACTTGGGGTATCTGGTCTGTATTTTGCCAAATTTGGTGCATTTAACGATTGCAATTTACAGAGATTATTCACAAAATTAAATTCAACTAGTTGTATAGTGCTGTGTAAGTTGCAAAGCATTATATAAATATTAAAAATGTTATAAAAGGGCTGGCCGAGTGGTGCGTTGGTTAAGAGCTGGCATGGGATGCCAGAGGGCCCCGGTTCGGATCCCACATATGAGCGCCAGTGACACTGCCCTCTACAGCTAAGATGCTGAACAACAGCTCAACCTGGAGCTGTGCTGCCATGAGTTGCTGGCGACGGCGTAGGCTGCAGCCCCTGTGGCAGTGGGTTGCCATGGGCTACCGTGTGTAGCCAGCAGCCAGCGGGAGCGGCCAGCAACCGCCATAAGTGGCCGTCCAGAAGCCGGCGACTGATCAGCCTCTCCCGAGAAGAGCGCAATGATGGTACCAACTTGGGCCAGTGAAGCAACATCCTCCACAGCTAGACTGAAGAACAAAAGGACAGCAACTTGTCTGTTCCCCTTCCCCCAATTACCCAATTAAAAAAAAATGTTATAAAAACCATTGTCACCCCAATAAATTTTAATTAAAAAAAAAACATGTTATAAAAAGAAAATTCTGTTGCAAACAAAAAGGTACACTGAAATTAATGGTACCTTTAATCAGAGATGGTTGTTCAAAATACTTCAATTTAAATCCTTTTAACAAGGCTCAGTGAAAATTGTGAGCTTGTGAGACCAGGAGAACACAGAGTGACATCAGTGAGCAGTTAGCAGCAGGGGTGGGCTGGAGTGCACTGCTTAAGAGCCCCAGCTCTGCCTCTTACTAGCAACGTGCTGATTTACTATCTGTGCAAATGGCTTAAGAGTCAGTTTCCTTCATCACAAAATGGAAATCATAACTACTTTCCAGGTTTGTTTTGAAGGTTAATTGGAAAATACACGTAAAGTAATTATCACATTGCCTGAACATAAGAAGTACAAAGCAAGTGATAGTTGTTAGGGCTTAGATAGTTTTAGACAAAGCTGTGATTGAGGTATTGGTGGAAAATCTAACAGTTAGTTAGTTGGAGGGTTATAAAAGTCTAATACTGTGGCATGAAGTTAGGATCTGAAGCAATGGGCTAGTGTAGAGAGAAAAGGTACGAAGAATTGACTTCTCTCTTTGATGTTAAACACTACTAGCCGTAGAGAACCCCACCTTCCATCTCCTCCCTTCTCAGCTGCCTCTTCTTAAAAATCCAGTGACACTGATTTAAGAGCACATGAGGAGGAGAGGAACTCTGTAAAATGATTTAAGTGATGTTAAAAGGTAGACTCTTAAAATGTTTAATATGCCTCAGTTTAGCTGAACAAAAATTGATTTGAATCAGGAGCATCCAGTCTAACAGATAAAAAGGAGGGCCAAGGAGCTGTATGAAATGATAGACTTTCCTAGGCAGACGGGAGTGGTAACGAGGAAATTATACTAGGCAAAAAGCAGCTGGTTATTGCAAGGTTACTTCTTTTAGGGGATGTTGGGGGTGTGTTAGGTGGATGACCTAACTAGTGTTGATCAGATGATTCCTGATGTGTTTAACTTTCCATTTCCGGGAGAGCCAAAACTGTAATTGAGTCTTGGTTTGGTAACCACCAATCTGTTTTCTGTATCTATGACTTTTTGTTTGTTTTAGTTTGTTACCTTTTTGCTTCATATTTCACATGAGTGAAATCATGGTTTTTTTCCTTTTCTGTCTGACTTATCTCACTTAGCTTAATAACCTCAAGATACATTTATGTTGTCTCAAATGGAAACATTTCATCTTTTTTATGGCCAAATAGTATTCCATTGTCTATATGTACCACCTCTTCTCTTTATCCATTCATCCATTGATGGACATTTAGGTTGTTTCCATATCTTGGCTATTGTAAATAATGCAGTGAACGTAGGGATATCGCATTGTGGTTTTGACTTGCATTTCCCTAATACTTAGTGATGCTGCATCTTTTCATATGCCTTTGGCCATCTGTTATGTCTTAGAAAAATGTCTGTTCAGATCCGCTGCCCATTTTTTCATTGGATTTCGTTTTTATTGAGTTATATTCTTTATATACTTTGGATATTAACCCCTTATCGAATGTATCATTTTGCAAATAATTCCTCAAGTTTGGTTGGTTACTTTTTTGTTTTGCTGATGGTTTCCTTTGTTATGCAGAAGCTTTTTCATTTGATGTAGTCCCATTTGCTTATTGTTGTTTGTTTCCCTTGCCTTTGGAGTCAAAATCACAAAAACACCACCAAGACCGAGGTCCAGAAGCTTAGTGCCTGTGTTTTCTTCTATGTATTTTATTGTTTCAGGTCTTACATTCAAATCTTTAAGCCATTTTGAGTTAATTTTCATGTATGGTGTAAGGTATGGAACAATCATTTTAGTTTTCTTTCCTACTTTTCATACACAGCTATTTCCTTTCACCCTTATTTCTAAGTAGTTTTAATTACATATGTTGATTAGAATTCTTAATTCCTAGTGAAAACTAAGAAGCAAGCAATTGTGGTCTGTTACACTAGCATTCTGTGAATTGGCAAATTTACAAATATAATTCATAGTTTTTAGAAGTATATTTTCCTCATAGTAAATGTTCCAATGTGGCACAAAACATGTTTACTAACAGACCTGAATATTTTTAGTTCCTCTGTAAAAGGGAGCAAAATGTGGACATAAACCTGTTTTCAGTAGTTGATGTTTCAGTATTGATCTCAATGTAATTGTAAGGTTTCAAGTTACCAAAAAAGATTTTGGAAACTTTTAAGTAGGCATACCATAAAGAATGAATTATTGTTAAGAAGTTCATTTACAAACTTTTACATCTATTTAATTCACTTGTTCTTAACAATTACAGTTAGATTACTCATGAAAATTTCATGAGACATTGAACAGCAGCTAACCATCTTTCTTGCTGACAAATTCGGTATAAGATAACATGAGCTAATTTGACATTTAGTAAACGTAGGTAGAATAAAAGTATATTTAAATCTGAAAGACATGCCTGTTTTAATTAAACAAACTTAAACTAGCCTTTATTTACCAAAGATTATCCTAGGTCCCATGAACTTGAAAAACATTTGGGTTAGTTTCTATATTTCTGAGAGTATATTTGATTTATATAAGTGCTTATTTTTCTTTAAGCCAATTAAATAGAGCTCTTTACAAACTAATTTTGTCAATACCACCCAGAGCTAGAATAAAAGTCACACATTTATAATATACGTACATAAACACAATCAGAGATAAGTTTTCATTTAAAAATTTTAGCTATGAGAGGTAAATACAAGCTAACTAGTTTATAAAAGAACAGCTGGATCCAAATTGTGTTTTTGGCAGATGGAATAAGTTAAAGTTACCTGCTCAGAGAGCTAAAGCTTGTTACTAATTTGTGAAAGACACTTTTAAGATTTTTCTTAGGCCCAGTTTCAAAATAGTCTTTAATTTTTTTTTTTTTGTTTTTGTTTCTCCTTCTGATAAGAATTACCTTGGTTCCTGGAAAAGACCAGGTAGAATGTTTATATCTCTCAAGGCACAAAGAATGCAAGTCCCACCCTGAGAGACTTTTGTTTCTTAAGTCCAGACCTTTTCCAGTATCTGCAAGCCTTTTGAGATGAATACGGAGATGTATTGGGATAGGTAAAAAGGATAGGTGGACTTTGAATTGTGTCTAGAACTGTGTTTCTGTTCTTGTAAAGATTAAATTTGTAAAACAAGCACAGTTATTTAATTTCTCAAAGAATTGGGTTGCAACCTGATATGGCGACTGATCCATCCAACTACATTATCTTCAATTTGCTGCTTAATATCAGGGAGAAGATAGTCAACAAAGATGGAAATCAAAAGATTTCTATGTTCTAGATTTACAGCTATGTATCTTTGGAATGTTTTAGTAAATCCTTCCACAAAGGTCTTCAGAATGTTTTTTCTTTCCCTCTGGTTACATAGTTTAATTTTAGCTTAGAGGAGAAGGCCTAAAAAAACGTTCCTATCAGGTTCCAATTCAGACCATAGATCTACTTTAAAAAACAACAACAAAAAAAAAACAAACTTTCAAATATCTTGCCAAAATCAGGCAGGACAAACAGTAAATATTCCTGGCAGTATTGAACAACCCCATAGAAACAGGAGATGTACCCAAAGAGGGTACAAAAGATACCACTCTCCCAAAATCCAGAGCCACTCCCAAAGACAACCAAAAGAAAAGACTTAGACAATTCCTCTGAGAGCTGGCTAGTTGGTAGGACCCTGGCAGCAAATGGGGTACAACCCCCATTTCTGCCTGGCCATATATTTGGGGGCCCCAACCTGATGGTTGCCAAGTCAAGTTCTCAGGACACAAAACCTTGTCAGACAGACAGACAGACAAGGAGGCAATAGCTATCCCTGGGTGAGAAACGATTAACAACCAATGGATACCTGAAAGCAAATTCATAAGTCACCATTCAAAGATCTAATGCTTACAAATGTTTTTTGCCTGCCTGCCTGCCAATCTGAAATTTGGAAAGATGGGACATTGTGAACGTTTACCCTCTTCTTTCAACCAGGCCCCACAGGTAGAGATATGAGAAAGCTGACTTTGCTAAGAATTCTCACCCTTTGCCAGCTTCTGCCAGTTTCCCCAGGATCCTGTCCATAGGCTCTGGAGTTAGTGGGATTGTCCCAGAGGGTCTCATCCTAGTCATTAGAAACGAGAGGAGGAAAAATAATTTTCCTTCTACCCTTTATGGTGCTAGGTTGAGACCCCTTTTTCTCTAGGGCACCTTGTAAATGGATAACCTTATCTAGGTTACAAGGTCTCCACTGTGGCCACTGGAATTCAAGATTATCTTTGGTAGGATTAACCTGCTTATTCAGTCATAAACAAAATTTTATTCACCCAAGGCCTCCCATCGGACCCCAGTCCAGCTTAAATCAGACCTAGTCCGAACCTAGACCCAGTCTGGTTTTTAAGTCAGACCCAGTCCAACTTTGGCCAGTTTCCAGATGGAGTCCAGAAAAATAAATGCTCAAATCAAGTCTGAAAGCTCATAAGGCCAAAGCTGCAGAGCTAGGATCTGAGAGGGACTTACCTGTGACCTCCAGATGCATCAAAACAGCAGGCAGCTCATGGGGCACCTTTGCCTGGTTGTTCATTGCTCCTGGAGGCTACTAGGGGTTTCCTTTGGTTCCCTCTTCTGATAACAGAACTGTTAAAAGATAAAGTAAGGCATATGAAAAAATCTTAAAAACTGATTTGAGCAAAAATTGATTTGAATCGGGGCAGCATCCAATCTAGCAGACAGAAAGGAGCCCCAGGGAGCTAATGTATAAAATGAGGCTTTTCTAGGCAGAGAGAGTGAAGAAGGAAGTTAAACTAGGCAAAAAAGCAGATTGGTTATTGCAAAGTTACTTCCCTTTAGGGGATAGTAGGTGTAGATCAGGCAGATTACCCAAGTAGCGTTGATCAGGTTATTCCTTATTGACTGGTTTAAGAATCCATTTCTTGGAAAGTAGACCTGTAATTAAGTCTCAGTTTGGTGACGTAGTGCTTAGCTAAGTTACTCAATTTTGGGCCTATTTTCTTGTTTTTAACTGTAATCACTATGCTATTTTTCTACTAGGCAAGTTTATTAAAATCTTTAAAAATAAAAGCCAGTATTATAAAAAATGCATGCAATGATAGTAACTGACAAATATTTATATAAACTATAATTTATTTTCACTTCTCTAGACATGAGGTCACAAGTGACAGGAAGAGAAAAGCTTCAAGCATAGTAATGATCACTGAGCAGTTACTGGGTGTCAGGCTCTACATTCTCTGTCTACTGTAACTGTTATATGAATCTATGAGGTAGACTAGTCACACAGTTTTCCAACGATGAACCTGAGTCCTAGGGAAGTTAATTATCCAAAATTACTTGGCTCGTAAGTGGTGAAGCTAAGATTTGAACTTTGTGACTCCAACGCCACGCTCTTAAAAAAGCAAATGATGAACTTATATTTACATTGTTTATCTGTTCTAAGAAAGATTGTGTTCTTTCTTTTTAACACTATAGAGTACTGCTCCACAAATCTACTTAATCAGACATTATTTGCCTCATTTACCCTCCCTTTTAAAAGAAAGGGTCTAAAGAGAACAAAATACCGGGACAAAGCTGAACACCCACTTTCTCTTACTGAGGGGAAGGTAAAAATGTTCTAATTTTGCCTTCGTGTCCCACAGCTGAAGAAAGCCCTTGATGAAGCCAACTTCAGATCAGTGGAAGTATCCCGGACCAACCGAGAGCTGCGACAGAAACTCACCGAGCTGGAAAAGCTGGTGAACAGTAGCAGGGAGAAAATAAAGAACCAGAAGTCCCAAATTAAGCTCCACTTGTCGGCTAAAGCAAATAATGCTCAGAATATAGAGAGGATGAAGGTTGTATGAGAAACCCTAAGTCTCCCCTCACTTCCTTAGTATCTGATGCGGCTCCAGGCAGGCAGCGGGATCCAGGGAATGGTTTCAAGGCACTCACAGCCCCATGTGTGCTGAGAATTATAGCTACACGCGGGAAGTGGGAAGATTGCCTTGGGGGGCAGGGGGCTATCTCTTTCTCCAGCCAAGATACTGCTGTGTAAACGTTTGGTTTCTCATTAGCTGCCAGTGTCCCTGTCTGGCTCCCCATCAGTCCCTTCTATGGTGACAGTACAGGACTTTGCTCTTTTGGGGTCAGTGGCTGGACGGGAAGGCGAGCCCAGCAGGAGCGGATAACTGGGTCTTCTGTGGGCTTCTTTCTTTCATCTTAAAGGCAAAAACAACAAGCCACTTGTTCCATTGATCACCTTTCTATGTTATTTCCACATCTATTTTCAGCAAATAGAAACAGAATTGAGGCAAATGGAGCTGATTAAGGATCAATATCAGAAAAAAAACTATGAACAGGTATATGGTTTCCACAAACTCTATGATGTTTCCCATTCACATAAAATCCCACACTTGGGACATCTCACCACCTGTCTCCCTCTTTTGCCCCACCAGTCACTGAGTATCCAGAAGTTTGTATCTGAGATGACCAACCTACAGAAAGAGATGCAACTCCTGGCCAAGAGCCAGTATGATACCTCAGCACGGAACAAACAGCAAGAGCTGCGACTCGAGGCAGAGCGGAAAATAAGGCAGGAACTAGAATACCGGTGCCGGGTAAAGGCTTATGATTCACCTCAGAGATTATCAGCAAACTGCATACGCCAAACCCAGCATTAGGGCACCTGGATTTTCTAGATTCTGTATTAACAAGTTGTCCCTGTTCGCTAAGCTCTTAGAATCATAGCAGCTAGGAAGAAGCCTGAACAGGGCATGTGTTCTCCATTTTCAAACTAATAAAAACGATACTCATTCTTAAAGCTAAAACTCACATATGCAAAATACTAGTTACTAAAGTAAGACTTCTAAACTGAATTTTATAGCTCTTCAGGAACTTGATACCCCTCTGTTCTTCCCTTAGCTCAGATGCACCTGTTGCTGTTACAGGACTTTGAGCTAGTCCCAACTTAAGCATAACATTGTGTAACTGAAAAGGGACTTCAAGAGATCATCAAGCTTTTTCTTATTGCCATAACATTAAGAATCCAGCTTTTTTTTTAATTTTTCAATTACAGTTGACATTCAATATTATATTCATTCCAGGTGTGCATCATACTGGTTAGACATTTATATACCTCACAAACTGATCACCCTGATAAATCTAGTACCCATCTGACACCACACATAGTTATTACAATATTATTGACTATATTCCCTATGCTGTACTTTACATCCTTGTTACTATTTTGTAACTGCCTACTTGTTCTTAATCCATTCATCTGTTTCACTTAGCCCCCTAGCCATCAGGCAAATATCAGTTTGTTCTTTGTATCTGTTTCTGTTTTGATTTTTCATTTATTTTGTTTTTTTAGACTCCACATATAAGTGAAATCATATGGTTTTTGTCTTTCTCTGTCTGACTTATTTCACTTAGTATAATATCCTCTAGGTCCATCCATGCTCTTGCAAATGGTAAGATTTCATTCTTTTTTATGGCCAAGTAATATTCCCTTGTCTATTAGCATCTTCTTTATCTAATTGTCTATTGACAGACACTTAAATTGATTCCATATCATAGCTACCGTATATGTAATGTCCTTTGTCTCTTGTTATAGCTGTTGCTTTAAGGTCTATTTTGTATGATATAAGTATTACTACCCCAGCTTTTTTTTCCTCATTTCCATTTGCGTGAAATATCTTTTTCCATCTCTTTCAGTCTGTGTGTCTTTCGATCTGAAGTGGGTCTCTTGTAGGGAGTATAGGTATGGGTCTTGTTTTCTTCTCCATTCAGCCACCCTATGTCTTTTAATTGGAGGATTTAATCCATTTACATTTAAAGTAATTATTGATAAATATGTAGTTATTGCCATTTTTTAATTCATTTTTTTAATTTATTTTTCCTTCTTCTTAAAGAAGTCCCTTTAACTTATAATACTGGTTTGGTGGTGATGAACTCCTTTAGTTTTTCTTGTCTGGAAGATCATCAAGCTCTTGTTTTCCAACAGAGATCCTCTGCTATGAAAAGCATCCCTCCAATTTCTGGAAAAAGATGTTAATCATTTTTTTTCTCAGGAGAATCCATAAATCAAAATCTGTAACTATATATATATATATATATATATATATATATATATACATACTGTAGGTTAAACTGAAAATAAGTTTCTATCTTGTTTTTAGGTAGTACCTGAAATTAGTACCCAGTCACACTTTCATAATTTAGTTGGCCATTTATTACAAATATTGAAATTTTTGTTCACTATGGTACATTGGGAGTTTGTAAAAATCTTTGTATCATGTTTTCAGGAATTGGAAGAAACAGTCAGACACCTGAAGAAATGTAAAGAGACAACAGAGAATAAACTGAAAGAAGCCAGTGTGGAATCCGAACAGGTAGGCCAGGGCCATGGACACTGAGACTTACACAGGTTTCCTCAGACACGACCACCTTGAACCACAAAAGTCAGTGTAAAATTCTTCATTAACAGTTGTCAGGAGTACAACAGGCAAGAACCAGTAACTTACTAAGTATAGTCTCACTTTAAAGAGGAAATCATTTTTAGATGAAGATTCTGTGTCCTGACGAGAGATATTAGAATGCTGAAATATTGATTAAACCTGAAGTCCAAGTCCCTCCCACCTAATAGAAGAAGGGAAGACCAGCATGTGAGTGGATTTTAATGCATTATTGTTTAACATGAATTAATGAAAGTGGGAGCTCTTTATTCAATCAATAACTAGAAGTGTAAAATCGGCCCTATAATTTATGAATATCCTTTCCCTGTTCTAATATTTCAAATTAGCTTTTTCAAAAGTACTTAAAATCAAACATTTTTAGAGCTGGAAAGGATCTTAGAAATCATGAGTCTACAATAACCACCTCTCATTTTCCAGATAAGAAAACAGAGTCTTAAGCTTTCGGTATCACAATGATATTGCTATCAGTTGGTCATGATTTCTCCCTTTTATAGCTATTAAATGACATGACAATATGGCTGTCAAAATGGTATATTAGAAAGAATATGGATTGTGCAAGCCTGAGTCTGAATGCCAACTGTAACACTTACTGTGCCCTTAAGGAAGTTACATTTACTTTAACTCATCAGTTACCACATCCATAAAAGTCAGGAAGTTAATGCATACCACTCTGTTATTCTGATAGATGGCTCAGAGTAAGTTTCAATAAATGTTAACTGCCTTCTCATTCGCCATACAAGAGGAGATATGATGTACAATGCCATTTCAAGCATCTTTCCCTCCACTCCTGGAAAAAGTGCTGGAGAAAGGTGGGGTTGGGTTTGCTTTGGTTTTGGGGGGGTGGGAGTGTCGCTGCCATCAGGGTGCACAAACAGACCTGGAAAATATTTTGGCTTTGTAGCTTTCTAAAAGTTAAATGACTAGGGGAACTCTATTTTCTTATCTCACTCTTTTGTACCTACACTGTGACCTGGCTAATATAGGACAAGTACATGGTAGCATATTGTTTACTGAGGATCTACTAAATGGCAGGTGCCAGGTGATGGGGATATGATGTCCTCTTAGATGTCAGATTCAAAAGTGAAAAGGCTATCCATGACACAAGTCATTTTACTTATTATTCTAGTAGGATATGTTCTGGAGCTGCTTTGAAGGAATATTCATATAAAATAAAAATCTGCTGGCTCTACCTTCAAAATACTAGTCTCCCAAAGTACTTAGAAAAGTGCCGGTATATATGCACTCAATAAATATTTGTCAAATACATAATATTGATTCCTGTTCTTCTTCAAAGACAAACTATCAGAGGGACTGTTTTCAAGTCTAACAAAGATAACTTGGAAGTTTGTGCTTATGAGCTAAAATATAAATTTTTATGATAAAGGAAAAAGAATACAACTTACATTAAGCTGATCCAGTTTTCTACTAATTCATTCTATTACTTTCTATTACTATTACTACAAAGCACAACAGGAGAATCTAACCTTTACAGGTTAAGGACTTTGGAGAAGTAGAGAATAGAACTCAGAAATTCAAAATATGGTTTGAACTGCATATTCATCTTCAGTGCCATTTTGTATTTTCATTCTTATATTATTTTTTTCCTGGGTCCTCTCTTACATTAGTTTACACCCAAGAAATATTAATAAATGCATAAAAAGCAGCAGGCCTGCACACTTTCTTTAACTCTACATTCAGAAATTATTTTCACATCTATCTGTAGGATGTGTATTGTGCAAACAGGATGCAAGGACCTTACAGTCAGAATTTGAGTCTTTTCATATGTAGGTAAAAAGTCTCTAGAACTAATATACAAAAAAACTTAAAACTGTTTGTTGTAACTTTTAATGATAATAACATTTATATGTTCAGATAACAGCTAACCTGGAAGAAGCTCACCGCTGGTTCAAGTGCAGGTTCGATGGCCTACAGCTTGAACTGACCAAAAACCGGTTGCAGAGGCTTCCCCGGGAAAACAGGTGGCGGGGAGAGGTAGGGCGTTTAGACATGGCTGTCTTCCACAATTCTGGGTTTGTTTCTTCTCAGATTTCTACTTTTAGAAGTTCTTCATCCAGCTACTCTCTTTAGTAATCCTTAGATTTCTTTAAACTATTGCTAGGAAACCAATAAACTAATTTTGTTCTTAAAAGCTCCACCTCTCCCAAACTGTCTAGGTTAGAACCACCAACTTGATGAATAAATGGTATTCATAAAGACAAAATAGGTCCTCAGCTCTGCAGTTAGTTTTTAACAGTGGTAGGTGTGATTTCTTTCCAACAGGACCAAGATAAAAGGCAAGACATCATGTCCAAGGAGTCTGTTCTACATCGTTGGGAGAGTAAACAGAATCTTAGAATTGTTCCCAAGAAGTGTCGTTCTGAACTAGAGAGAAAGTGATGTCCTTGACAGAGGAGCATCTTCATTTATAGCTACACCACCATGATTCACTGAGCCCAGCAACTAGGGCTCTCCTGTGTCCACTCATCAGAACGTGAAATATTTGATGTGGGCTAAAGATTTTGGACCTGAGTTTATCCTTCTGTGAACTCTGATGTCAATACAGAGCCACCCCATCTTTTTGTCCCTTTCCCCATTTACCTCCCAATAAATTTATATTAATTTGTTGTAGGATAGGAGATCCTATTGCACAATACTGGCTATTTTTCTAAGCACATTTGATCAAAAAGCATTTAGTGTGGTACTAGATGATATGGCAGCTAAGTGATGTAATACTTGGTTTCAATTAAATGTTTAGAGGCAAGTTTATTGGCGTGTGTCCACTCCTGTGTAGCCGTCTTTCAGAAGTGAGAGACTCACTGGCAGGATTATAAAAGTTTAAGCACTAACAACAAGTTGTCATTGATCAGTGGACAAGTTTTAAGTCAGCTCTGATGGCTGTTTGTTACCATACCTTCAGAACAGTCAATCTATTGTCCCATCTATTGGAAAGATGGGAACAATTTATTCCTTGTGCCCCCTTTTGGTCTTTATATTATACATTAGGACAGTAGCTCTGTTGAAGCATTTAGGAATGAACAAACATCAAACAACAATTTTGTTAATCCAGGTACAATAGAAGTGCTAGCACTGGCGTGGACACCTCTCTAATTAGAGAAAGATAATTCATGGCTATTTTATTACCCATAATTACTTTGGCTAAGGAATTTAAACTTGCTTGTTGTATCTCCAAGACTTGGGCTATGTATTTATTTGGTCAGTTGAAGTGAGAGAACACATTTTTTATGATCTCAAGTTGTCTAACTCCTGTGTGATTTATCCCTTTGGACTTTTTATAAGGAGGTATAGTCAGTCAAGGGTTTGGGAGAGTCATAATCTTGAAGCAGCATAACTATGAGCCCCACGGAACATGCCAGACCATTAACCTTGCTCCTGGGTTGGCAGTGAAACACTTGGTCCTAAATTCTACAGTTACTGCTCAAGAGAGATGATCAACCTTAATGGGTTGTAAATATATCATCCCTGAGTGTTGTCTTGACAGTCACAGTTACTTCCAAGAATATTTATCCTCCTTGTCCACAACAAGGACATTTTTCTTCACTTACTTATTGTCCTCAAAGGGTATCATTATTGGTAAAAGGAAAAGTAAATTCTGCACAAAACCACATTCTCAGCAGAACTTGAGGCAGACAATGTCAAATCTTCAAAATAAGTAAAAGTAGAAAAATCACCAAATCCCAGTGCATGCTCTCTCACACTTCTGCCCCACCTCACCACACCTCACCTCACAACAAGGATGTGTAGCAGACAAAAGCAGACAAAAAGAAATGAAAATAAAGAGCTGGAAAGACAGAAAAAGGAAGCTAATGAAGGGGTCTAAGAAGAATAAGTTACAAGGGAGAACAGATTCAGGTAAAAATAAGAGTCATTGAAATGACAGGAAAACCATCAAGAAAATGAAATCAAAGAATTTTAAAAGGTCAGAGAATAAGTAATGGAGGATAGGCAAAGAAGGAATAATATATTCATGTTGTTGGAGCCCCTGGGGAAGAAAAATAAAGTAGAACAGAGGTAATATTTAAAATTGTATTCCCAGAACACTTTCCAAAAATAGAAAAAATATATATCTGACTCTGCATGTTGAAAGGACTCACCAGGTACCTGGGAAAAACCAAATGATCAACTTTGAGACATATTCTAATAAAACAGATTTTAAAGGCCTATAAAATATTCTCAAGGTCTACAGGTAAAAGGATCATGTAACTTAAAGGCAAAAGAGACTGACATCGGACATTTAAAAACCAACACACTATACCAAGGGGTGGGGGGCAAGAGTGATGTTACTTAAGGGTACAAACTTGCAATAAGTAGTAAATAAGCCATAGAGATATAATGCAGAGTATAATGAATATAGACAACAATATTGTACTACAATCATCAAACTTGTAAAAGCCTTAAATTTAATTATCCAACCACTAAAAAAGGATATTTATGCAAGGTAATAGGTAATAAATGTCACTACAATAGCAATCATATTACAATTTATAAATATACTAAGTTAAAATGTATACCTTACATTTACACAGCTATATGACAAATATATTCAGTTTTTAAAAACCCAACACACTAATCAAGGTGATAATGGAATAAGCAGTGTGGTAGGCAGAATCCTAAGGTAGGCCCCAAGATTTCCCACCCTCTGATGTACACGTCTGCATCATCCCTGGCTCTGTCAAAATTAGGAATTTTACCCCCATGATTAGATTATATATCATGGTTGACGTTAAGGAAGGGAGACTATCCTGGTGAGCCTGACCTAATCGCGTAAATTCTTTAAAAGCCATTTCCCCTAGTTGGTTGCAGAAGGGGGAAGTCAGAGATTTGAAGCACAGGAAGAGTTCCTGTGCTCTCACTGGCTTCAAGATGGCAGAGGCCAAATGGCAAGGAATGCAGGTGACCTCCAGGAACTGAGAGAAGCCGCTGGCTGAAAGCCAGCAAGAAATGAAGACCTCAGTCCTAAAACTTCAAGGAACTGAATTCTGACAACCAGAATGAACTTGGAAGCAGATCTTCCTCAGACCTCCAGAAAAGAGTTCAGCTCTGCCAACACCTTGAATTCATCCTGTGAAATCCTGAGTAACACTGTTTGCCCTGGCCTGGTGATTCCTTGAGACTTCATTCCACCCAGCTTACGTGCCTGGCCCAAGCCACTTCCAGCAGTTTTTCCACACAAGCAGCCTGCTTCAGCTCATGCTGCAGACATTTCTGAAATCTCTCCAAGTCCACAAACCCCAAACAAGCAGTGGCTGGCCTCAGGGTGCCCTGTAATAAGTGGCCTCAAGCCTGGTACAAACAAAGATTGCATTGAGATCCATCAGTTGGCCTCAAGCTGCAGCCAGTGTTGGCTTGGAATGTAGCTTCAAGTAAGTGACCACAAACCTGGTCGCTGGCCTCAGGTCACATTGTGTTTCTACCAAAGGGTCCCAAGCCTGGCACTAGTGGCAGCCAGCCGCAGTTTGCAACATAGCCGCTCCAATCACCTCCAAGCCCAGCACAAGCAGCAATCAACCACAGATCACTTTGTAGCTCCCCCCAGTCAGTCCAAGATGGGCACAATCACAAATGGTGGCTGACCTTGGCCTGCACTGGAGCCCCTCCCTGAAGCTTCAGAATCATTATACCCACTGGCCAGCTTCAGACCACACCAGAGCACCACCCAACCAGGTCCACAAATAACACACCCAAAGGGTGGACTTGGCTAGCACCATATCCCTGCTAAAGAGATTCCTCCTCTGAGTTCAGCCCCAGCACAGCTTGTCTGCTGTAGTCATGGCCATCCCTCACAGCCTGAGGGTCAGTCCCACCCATTGATGTCCCAGTGAGGCTCAAGTGCAGTAGGAGGGCACACTCTACCCACATAAGTGACACTTCTGGAGCACCCAGCTCAGCTGAATAGGGAGACTGCGCCACTGGGCCTCACAGGTTACCTAATACATAAAAACAAACACAGGGAGTCAACCAAAATGAGAAGACAAAGAAATATGTCCCAAATAAAAGAACAGGACAAAACTCCAGAAAAGGAATTGAATGAAATGGAGACAAGTAATCTACCAGATGCAGATTTCAAAACACTTGTTAAAAGGATACTCAGTGAGCTTAGGGGAAGAATAGATGAACTCAATAAAGAGATAGAAACCATAAAGAAGAACCATTCACAAATAAAGAACACAACTGAAATGAAGAATATATTAGAAGGAATCAATAGATTAGATAAAGCAGAGAATCAAATCAGCAATCTGGAAGACAAGCTAGTGGAAAAAAAAAACAATTAGAACAGCAAAGTGAAAGAAATTTTTTAAATGAGGATACTTTAAGGGACCTCTGGTACATACCAACATTCGCATCATAGGGGTACCAGAGGAAGAGAGAGAGCAAGGCATTGAAAATCTGAAGAAATAATGACTGAAAACTTCCCTAATCTGAAGAAGGAAATAGACATACAAGTCCAGTAAGTACAGAATGTCCCAAACAAACAAGATGAACCCAAAGAGGCCCACACCAAGACACAACATAAATAAAATGACAAAGGTTAAAGACAAAAA